TTTTTTTTTTTTTTAAGCTGTGGAGAAAAAGTGGAAATTCATCACGTGCAGCTCTTTATTTATGAATGTTACTAAGTTAAAAAAAATTACTCTTTCCTTAAAAATATGGTGGGCTACTGCTTCAGAAAAGATGGAAAGTCCATTTTCATACAGTTCTTAGCATATCATTGGATTATTTTGAAGGCAGGGACTGTGTATGATTCATGTTTATGTGTCAGCATTTAGCAATTTGTTTGGCACAGAAAAGATTAGGGTGGGAAGGTACACATTTTGCTGGTAATACCACCCATATCCCCTTCTTGGCTTCCACTTCTGTGTTACTGCTCTCAACTGTCTTAATGTATTAGAAATATTTTACACGATTCATCTCTCCTTCCTTTTTTTTTTTTTTTGAGAGAGAGAGAGGGCGCAAGTGAGTGAGGGGCAGAGAGAGACAGAGAGAGAGGCGAGGCTGGTGCTCCCCCCATGTGGGGCTCGTGCTCACAAACCATGAGATCATGACCTGAGCTGAAGTCAGGTGCCTAACTGACTGAGCCACCCAGGGACTCTCCTTCCTTGATTCTTTAATTGACTTCCAGGAACCCCACACTTGCCTAGTTTTCTTCCTACTATACTGGTTGCCCTCTGTCTCCTTGGCTGGTTCCTCCTCTACTCAGCCTCTTAAAATTGGAATGCCCCTGAGCTCAGTTCTTGATCACATTTTCTTTACTGTCTCAGAGTGATTTAATTTAGTTTCATAGCTTTGTATGTCATCTATAGTCTGATGATTCCCAAACTTCTATCTCCACTCCCGACCTCTCTCCCAAACTCCGGATTTTTATATCCAGCCCTACTCAACATCTCCACTTGGATGTCTAAAAGATATTTATTTCAAAATTAATGTTTACAACACTGAACTCCTCATCTTCCACCTCAAACCTGTTACATCCAAACTTCTATCAGATAATTGCATTTCTGTCATTCTAGCTGCTCAGGCCAGAAACTTTGGAATCCTTTACTTCTTTCATATGTCCCACATCTAAACCATCAGCAAATCTTCTTTGTTGTACCTACAAAGATTACCCAGCATCTGACCAATTATTAACCACTCTACTACCAGTCTACTACCCTGATCCAAGCCATCATCATCTCTTCACTGAATTATTACATATTCTCCTGATCTTTCAGCTTTTACCCTTACCCTTCTGCATTCTATTCTGAATGTAGCTAGAGATCTATTTGAAGTGTTAAGTCATGTCATGTCACTCTTCTCTTCAAAACTGTGTGGTGATTGATTTTTTACTCAGAGTAAAAGCCAAATTCTGTGCAATGGTGTGTAAGGTACTGTAAGATCTGACCTTCCATTACCTGTATGAATGCGACTACTACTACTCTCCATTGTCTACTCCACTCCAATTTTACTGCCTCCTTGCCACTGTTAGGACAGAAAAGCCATGTGTTGCCTTTCAATCTTTGCCCTGCTTGTTCTTTTTGCACTGAAACACTTCTTCCAATAAATCCTTATAGTTAACCCTCAGTGTTTAGTCACATGTCCCCTCAATGAAGATTACTTGGACCAGTCTATTGAAAATCGCACTCATCTTTTCTCTTGTCAGCATTCCCCCCACATTCTTCTCATCCTTCTTTTTCTTTCTTTCTCATACCTTCTAATATGTAATTTATTTTTAGTTTTCTTTCTGTTCTCTCGCTCTAGAACATGAGTTCTATATAGGTAGGTACCCTTGTTTTGTTCTGTCATTTAAAGTGTCTGAAATAGTTCTTGTTACTTAGTAAGTAATCAATGAATGTTGAACATCTGAATGCATCTTAGGCATAAAGGGAGCTAAATAATAGCATAGAATCCCACAACTTCACTCTTATGCCAGTTATGGGGAAGGGTCTTAGAGGTGGAAATATTGTAAGCCAAGGAATAAGAGGATGGAGATCATAAAGGTCTTTCTAGTTTATGCTGTCAGCTTTCCATGATTGAGTTGTTAGAATCTAGAATGTAGTGTTAACTGTATTTAACTATCTAAAGGAAATGGCAGATGCTACTGTTCACTTCCTAAACCAAACCTTGGGCTACCACTTTATAACTCTGTAAACAGTTGCCATATAATACCACAGATGGTAAAAGATTAATGAAGGACTTTATAAGTATGGCCGCCACTAGAACAGCACTCTGCTCTGAAAGATGAATTTGATAGATTAACGGTGTGAGAACCTTTTCAGTGCCACATCTTTTTCCTTTTGCCTTTTCATTCTAGTCAGAGGAATTTACTATAGAGCAAGCCAGTAATTATATTTATTCTGAGTGACAAAAATTTGAAGATACTCTTAAAAAAAATTTTTTTTTTTTAATGTTTATTTTTCAGAGAGAGAGAGCGCACACGCACGCGAGCTGGGGAGGGGCAGAGAGAGAGGGAGACACAGAATCCAAAGCAGGTCCAGGCTCTGAGCTGTCAGCACAGAGTCTGATGCAGGGCTCAAACCCATGAACCGCGAGATCATGACCTGAGACAAAGTCAGACACTTAACTGACTGAGCCACCCAGGCACCCTGAAAATATTCTTTAATTCATGTGTATGTTCCTTCATTCAACAAACATATATCAAGTAACTACTAAATGCCAAGTGTGATGGGCACTGGGAATGCAACTAAGAACAACATTCATTCCTCTGTCACCCAATTCATAATCTGTGAGGGGAGAGAGACGTTGACAGTAATCACAAGTGAGACAAATGACAGAAAGAAGCAGAGATTGCCACTGTAGGAGAGACTAATAGCATGATGAAAGAAAGCTGCTCTGAAGATGTGTTATTTAAATTGAGGATGGAGGGGCACCTGGCTGACTTGGTGGAGCATAGAACTTTTGATCTCCAGGTTGTGAGTTCGAGCCCCATGTTGGGCATAGAGATTACGTTAAAAATAAATAAACTGAAGAGGGTTAGGGAGGACTGTCAGAGGGAATATTTTGCTGTGTTTCTGGTTTAAATATGCCTATGTTTTTTTTTTCAAGTAACAGGTTTGCTTAATTTTTTTTAATGTTTATTTATTATTTTGAGAGAGAAAGAGAGCGCAAGTGGGGGATGGGCAAAGAGAGAGGGAGACAGAATCTGAAACAGGCTCCAGGCTCCAAGCTGTCAGCACAGAGCCCAACGTGGGACTCGAACCCACTAACTGTGAGATCATGACCTGAACCGAAGTTGGACGCTTAACCGATTGAGACACCCAGGCACCCCTAGTTAAGAGTTTTATTTTCCAGTATTATTTTGAATATTTGTTTTAAACATAACTTACTTGAATTCATGGTATTCTATCCTGTATTTGCCAAATCAGGGTTTCTTTCCCCCCTCCATTTACATAAAATACTAGAAGATGCGAGTCGTCGTTATGGCGATGGTAGGAAGGAGAGATTACAAGGAGTACAAGGAAACTTTTGGGTATGATGACTGTGTTTTTCTGGATTATGATAATGGTTTCACTGGTGTACACGGATGTCAAAACTTATCAAATTGTACAATTTAGTATGTGGAGTTTACTGTACGTTAGCTATGAACTAATAAATGTAGCACGGTTTGTGGGATACAAGTTCAATGTATGAAAGTCAATTTTGGGGTGCCTGGGTGGCTCAGTCAGTTAAGCAACTGACTTTGGCTCAAGTCATGATCTCACCGTTAGTGAGTTTGAGCTCCACATATGGCTCTC